CCCCATGTCGTTGCAGGCTGCAGCAATGAGGCGAACGGGTTTCTTTTGCAATTTTTCCCAGCTCGTTTCCATCTCCAGCAGCACTCAAGCCAAACAAATCAGAAGGGATCAAGCTCTGCATCGAGAAATGTGCCTGTGTGGGAACAATTTATTGGGGTTTGGATTCTATCGCCGCCCACCGAGTCCAAGCTCCTTATTGGACACGGTCAGTGCATCCACAAGAGGATTGTTCGCGTTTTTCGCAGCAACGTGACTCACGAGGTGCCCTCTTCGCTAATGCACAATAATCCCCTAAAATATTCAGACCCTTGTGTTACTCTAGTGAAAACAAAGTGAACGGTTTAGTTCAAAATCTCAACACAGCTGCTGCAGACACGAAAGCTGGTAAGTAAACAAAGATGAACTTTGATTAAATTGCAAAGTAACAAAGTGTGCTGCAGGGTTCAGACAGGAAAGTCAAAAAGACAAAACAACAACAACAACAACAACAACAACAAAAAACCAGTCTCCAACAAAACATAATCCAACAGAAGAACAATGTGAGGCCAGAAAGACCCCAAAGCACTTTTGGATAAATGCGTAAAGGTGGATAAACGCTGAAGGAGAAGACGACTTGGAGCGAAGAACGATAGAAAGCAGAACCAATCAAATGTTCACTAATGAAACTGATCAGGAGCACACAGACAGGAAACCAAACCAACAGATATGATTGGTTAACTAACTAAAAGGGGGGTTATTCCCGCTTTGAGTTACAGGGATTCTTAATTGGATAAGCGGGGGAAAAATAGATGGGTGGAAATAAACAATAACGAAAAATCCTAAACACATGGATCCCATAATAGACTTAATGTTGGTGGTTATTGTTCAATTTAGAGATGTAGACTATAAAACTTATTTTGCAGTCTTGAGCCACCTTTTCTTTTTCTTTTGCTTCCAAGGAGTTATGTTTTCTTCTATCTTTAAAAGTGAGCAATGGTTCTCCAGCTGTTCTAAATGTCTTTCAGTTTTTCTTTGGTTCTTTGGACAATATAGGTGGTTTTTCTGTAGTCCTTGGACCTGACTATTTTCAAAGAAATTTCGGGTTTTTTTGTCCACTTAGCACTGACATCTCAACCATCAAGCTTAAAAAAAAAAAGGTATCCAACTCCAGGGATAAACTAGGGTTGTGTGTTGATTCCCAAATGGCTACAAGCTGAAAACATGGCGTGGTGTGCAGCACATCCAAGAAGCCCAGAAACCCATTCCTGAAGTCTCCTTGGCTAAGCTTTCTTATTCAAGTTTTCAGGCTGTGTTGGCTTATATGCCATGTATAATGTATACATACACGTTTCAACAAATCAACTATTTTCCTGTAAAATGAAGAAATGAGCCTCACAGTTCTGTAGTCTAAATACACACAACTGCTGGGATAGTTTCAGTCTTTCACAATATCTGTTGCAACATTTACAGCCTGAGTTTAAAGGTGGACAAACTTCATAAAGGATGCCGAGTGAACAAACTCTGGTTCAGACCAATATATAACTTCTGCTTAAATGTTTTAATGCAGGGCCTGACATCATTTCTTACTCGTAGGTTTCAGACAAGTTTAGTGCAGATTCAGTAGGTCAGTGAATAAAGGGAAGGGTCTTTTGGCTAATCTGTCACCATGTAAATTGGATCTAAATGGTGGCTGGATAACTCCAACTTGGCACCAACCACACATGACTTTTCATAGACAAGTTGAAGTTTCACAGCAGGAAAAGCAGGTGTGTTAACGACAGCTTCATTCCTCTTAGGGGAGGTGTTGCCGTTATCCATACGGTTCCCTGGGACACTTGGAAGTGAATCATCGTGGTTAAAATGCCACAAATGCTTAATTTATCAAGTCAATATGTCTGCTGTGAAACAAATTTGAGGAAGTGTCTACTTCAGGTTGGAATATTGAAGAAGGCAAAGTGAATAAAATTAGCATGAAATGAGTTACAGGAACAAACATCTGAGGTATCATAAGAAATGAGAACGCAATAATATTTCATCCTTTATTTCAATACAATTGTAATTTGGTAATTGATACAAAAATAACAGATTTATGATCACATGGGAGAAGGGGGGAGGGGGGGCTTGCACATTTTCAGAGAACTTTTTTCCCCCAGAGTTTTTTTTGGTAGCTTTATTTACAAAGGAATTTTGAGATCCTGTTACCAAATATACAAAAGTTGGAAATTAAAAAGAAATATTTACAAAACTGACAGCTGGGATAGGCTCCAGCGCCCCCCGCGACCCTGAAAAGGATAAGCG